ATGCCAGGTTTCTAGTCTGGACAGCACACCTAGAGTTCCAGGCTGGCATGACACGTAGTACCAGGGATCAAACTGGATATTGTGGGCTGGCCAGATAGCTCAGTGGATTAAAGCACCTGCTTAGGCAGAGTTCAATCCCCAGTGTGCCCATGCCCATGCTGGCCCTGCCCCCAGGGCACACTGAAAAGGTGACTGAGGCTGGGCGTGGTGTTGTACACTTCCAAGCTACTCAAAAACCACAAAAGTATGGTAAGCATAAATCTTTCAAAGACATTTTGACAGCAAGAGATTTATAGCTATAATTACACTGAGGCAACAGACATACAACTAGGGTATCCTGTGGAAACTGGAATATAAGAGGAGGCAAAATTTACTGCTATAACAGGAAGCATGCTCATGCTGCAATCAACGCCCAAGCACTGACCATGTCCTTGATACACACTAATTTATCAATCCCATAAATTCTACAAGGTATGTCCTATTTATTGTGAGGAGATAAGTGAGTATCATTGGAAAAGAAAAGGGAGTATAGAGAAGTTGTTCATTCCCAAATGCTTTTAAACTCTAAACTTAGTATGAACTTCAAAATGTCAGAACACTTTCCCAACAGGAGTAGCAGCAGACAGAATGTTTATATAAGGGTGCCAGGAATACTATCTTTCCCACTGACTGGCAGCACTAGACACACACACACACACACACACACACACACACACACACACACACGGGTTCATACCATTTCTTTAGTACAGTCTGCAGCACTTAGAACATGATCATGAATCACACATTTAATCTCTATCGAGCTCTCTCTCATGGTCCAGATAGATCCATCTGGCATCTCCGCTTTCATATTCTGACAAATTCTTCAAACTCCACATTTCAAAACTGAATTCCTTAGCATATCTTCCCTCTATTATCAGAATGGACTCAACTTTTGCCATTATTTCGCTCTTCCTTCTCTGACAAGGTGATTTCATCTTTCCATTTAAAATCCATTTTCTCCTTACAACTCAAAATTTCAGCAACACTCCTGCCTTCCCTTGAATCCAAGTTTGTAATCGCCTGCCACAGCCTCCCCAGCTTCTAGACATCATGGTGGATGGCTAAAATAGAACTGGCTCCTTTCAAATTCACTAATCTTTCACACCCCAATTTCCCTTTCTGTTGCTTCAACCAAAAACCTAACATCCCCCCATCATTCATGCATAGTCTGTTCATCACTTAACATTTTGGAAAACTCAGGGTGACCCTACAAACATACACACACACAAGTTCATGACACAGATCATTCCTAGAATGATAAGCAGGAAGATGACCAGGTGTAATCAGTACCAAGTTTCCCTTGGAGGCCGGCAGCATGGGGAGCACCCACAACACTGTCGTCCACAAAGCCTTTCCACTACCCCCCAACCATGATCCACCTGCAGTTTCTGAACAGTGACCATTCCAGGTTTTAGTTTGTGAACTTCCAATTTCTATGTATTTCTATCATCCACTCATGATTTTGAGATTCAAGCATTTTAATTCCTTTCCTTTTTCAAGTGTTAATGTTGAAACCCAAAGTTTCTATAAGCTTTTTAAAAAAACTGTTACATAGTTTTTCTGTAATAGAAATGTAGGAGTGGAAGGAGTCAGGGAGATAGCTCAGCAGCATAAGCGTGTGCCTGGTAAGCACAAGGTCCTAAGTTCGATCACTGGTACTAAAAAAAAAGCGAGACATGTAGGAGCAGAGTATAAATACTTTTTTGTGTAGCTTAGTATTAAGCAAAAAAAAAAAAAAAAAAAAAAAAAAAGTGACAATACGTTTTGCTAAATGCTTTTATACCTTTTGAATTTTTGTGTTCCATGAATAGTCTGTTTAAAACTCAATTAAATTTTAAGGCTGGATATGGTGACACATGACTGCAATTCCAGAACTCCGGAAACTGAGGCAGGAAGATCACTATGAGTTTGAGGTTAGCCTGGGCTTAAACTGCACAGTGAAACACTGTCTCCAAAAGAAAAAAAAAAAAAAAAAAAAAAAAAAGCTAAGGCGATAACAGCTCAGTGGAGTAAGTGCTGGCCTGGCAAGTGCAAGGTCCTGAGTTCAATCTCCAGTACAAAAAAATAAAATAAAAACAAAACCAAATAAACAAACAACAAAAAATTTAAAAATGAATTACAACTTTTGAAGGGGAAGTAGGGAAACAAATATGAGTGAAATGTTACACACCTGTAACAAATTCATACTATGCTTTTTGCACTATTACTTTTGAAATATTAAAAAACAATTACAGAAAATACCTAAATTAATAGCTAGGCCTGTGAATAAGGTAAAAGACAGAACTGCTTTACAGCTACAAATCTTACCATGTCATCTAAGCAGCAAGGTTCATTAAAACGATTATTGATAACCTGACAAGCAGATAGAACCATTATCATGGTTCCTGTACCTCCCAAGTGGGGAAGACACAATGGAGGATCATGATGTACTTTTTGTTGACATTAATATATCACTGAAAATAAAGAAAACCTGGGCATGTGTTTCATACCATGTCCCACTCATCTATTAGTATCTCTTCCTAATTTGTAGTCATTACTAAGAGTCAAATTGTTATTACCAATCCAGAATTTTGTGCTGAAGTCTCAACCCCTATTTGTATGACATCTTAGACCTTATTTGCAAATACATCTGTTACAAATAAATATAACATCATTACTGTGCTTCCCAAGAACCCAATATGACCAGTATCCTTGAAAAAAGGGCCAGCTGGGAGTGGGATGTAATTCAGTGATGGAGCACTTCCCGAGCGCGCATGAGGCCCTAGGTGCAACTGAGGTATGAGGCACTAGACACATGTGGACAGAGATAGACTTTCCCAGGTAATGTGAGAGCAAGGTGAAAATGGCCACCTACTGGCCAAGAATAAAGGCCTAGAATAAGCTGCTCAGAGATCTTAGAGGGGATCGACCCTATCCTCATCTTGATTTTAGGATTCCATCCAGAACTGAGACATTAGATTTCTGTCATTCAAATCAGAGTCTGTGGCAATTTGTTATAGTAATTCTAGGAAATTAATAAAACTACACATAGAAGTTACTTTAAATGATTAATCACTTAAAAAGATCAAAAATAACACACACGAAATTCAAGTTTCTTGGAAACTTAAAATCTTGTAAGAAAAATAGTGTTTTAAGTACCAGAGCATATATCCTTAACTTTTTTTTTTTTTATGTATTTAGTATAGGGTCTACAGGGTCTCACTACACAGATTGGACTCGTAGTGATCCTCCTGTTTTCAGCCTCCCAAGCACTGGGATTACAGGTGTGCAACACCACACCCAGCCTCAATCACCTTCTCAGTGGGCCCTGGGGGTGGGGCCAGCATGGACACGGGCACACTGGGCACTGAACCCCCGGTCCTTGCCTCTGACTAAGTAGGTGCTTTAATCTGCTGAGCTATCTGGCCGGCCCTTAATACCCTTAACTTCTGATACCAAGAAATATTACAACAAAACAGACACCTATTTTTAAGGATATACACTTTCAGATGGTCAAATGTGTGCAAGTTTACGAAGTCCCAAATCTATTCATTCCCCCCATTAGGGATTTCCCATGAAAATCAGCCACCTGAAAGGGTTTAATTGGATTTTCAAAGCTGATTATTCATTCAGGATAGACCTATGCAGTTGAGTACCTAAGGAGGGCTTTAGAAATTTGCTAAGTTTCTCCATATTTTTATAGTGAGATGTATGTTACTGAATCTTGATTCTCTGAAAGCCAGTGAATCATTGCCAACATTGCAGCTATTAGGGATAATATAAAGAATTTTTATTATGATAATTTTTATCTCTAAAATCTTCCAACATTTCCTGTAAATTGGTATTTTTCTGCCCACTTTAAGCATTAGCAAACTAAAATTAAGTGAAATAGCTAGTGATAAGCAGTATTTAAGTACAAGTGACTCTGAATCATAGGTCCTACATCTCTTGACCCTAGAGTAGAAAATTCCACGTTAATAGGAAGTACTGGTTGTGACACGAAAACAATTTGCTTCTTATGCAGGGATACATCTGGTAATGTCTGAAGAGTCCCAAGTGTAGCAGGCACAGGTGCTACTGATATCCAGGGTGGAGAAGCCAGAGGTCCTGCCAATGTCCCACAGGTCACAGGAACGTTCCCTACAACACAGAATTACCCCCACATGTGTGTGGTGCGGAGACTGAGAAACCCTGGTATAAGCAAAATATTCTTCAACATGTCTTCTCACATAGAGACTAATACCCTACCTTGTTTTTTTCTAAAATCAACACTTAAAGTCGATGGAAATGTATTTAAAACATACCAAGGTGTTATATGGTTTGTGCTCACCTTTAAAAAATAAGAAAATCCTATCTTGATGTCTTAAACCCCAAAACAATAGTAGTAAGAGGTAGGGCCTTTGGGAAATGATCAAGTCGCGAGGGTTTCACCCTCCTGAATAGAATTAGTGCCTTATGAAAGAGGCTTGGGCAAACTCGTTCCCTTTCTCCATGTTGTATCAGCAGAGCAAGAAGTGCCACTCTGGAAGGACACAGGAAGCCCTCCCCACACACTGAAGCAGCAAGAGCCGGGACACTGGGCTGCCCAGCCTCCAGCCCAGTGAGCAATGAATTCCTCCCATTTATAAATTACCTAGTACATGGTACTCTGTTAAAGCAGCAGAAACAGATTAAGGCAAATGTACTTAATACTGAAGTATTCATACCTATTTTTAATTCATCCAAAAAACTGAGTTATCATAAAAATCTGAAATAGAAGAACTGTGGAAGATGCAAGCTCTCACTATGAACTGTACAAATACACAGGAATGGGGGGATATATGTGTACTTAACATGTTTGCACTGATATATGACTAATACAGTATTTTCCTGTCTAAAGGATGTATTGGGAGAAGCAACCTCAATACAGAAAGGCAGGAAGAAATAATATATTGAAGCTTCAGTAGACGTTTTAAAGGCACAATAAAGCCACACCACAAGGCAGAGAACCTTTTAATTTTATTTCAAAAGTACACAAGGTCACAAAACTAAGAGCAAGTTGTTGGGTTTTTTTAAACAAATTTGTTCTTACAAATTTCAAAATCTGCACCATTGGATGTGTAAGCTGGAAATTTTAAATACAAAATCTGAAACTGACACTGTCAGTACTCTATTGTGCAAACGTGATGTGTCAAGATATTTTTCTCCGTAGTACAAGTGTATTTATGGCTAAAATTCACAGGCGTAAGAAGGAGTGAATCCGTGAATTGTGGTTTTAATACTTGCATAATTTAATAAGTTAGCAGAAAACACAAAGTGCTTCTTCGATAGAAATATTAATGTCTGTGATCAAACTAAACCCAACTGACATTCACTAAATTCTTACATAACAAAATAGGATAATTGCACAAAACTTGATTTTAAGAGGCTAGTGTTACTATCCATAATGTCAGCCTTCCAGCCCCCACCAAAAAAACCACAATTCACAAATTTATTATTCTCCCTTACTCTGCAACATTTATAAAAGGAGTTTGTGGTCACTTATGGACTATGATAGTGGTGAAATAGGCGAACAAGAAATTCTATTGCAAAACATGTGACCTTTATTGCTGGACTATCCAAAGGCATTTAAAATATTAAAACTTGCCCAGAACATTTACATTACTAAACACAGGAACGTCATAAAGATGTATATACATAATATATAATATATAACATCACAAGCCACTGAAAAGTTCAAATTGCGCCAATATTTTCTAAAAACTACTCCATACATGACATACCAAGAATCAAACACATAAGGACTTTTTCTGTTCATACTGGAATAAGGCATCCAAACCCTAAACACTGTTGAAATGCAAATTAGAAAAAACTAGACACATGCACATAACTTCAAATTTACATGCAGCATGCACACAAAAAAGACTGAGAATAGTTATTTTTATAAGCCACATATTACAGAATTTTGTGCCCAACTTCATGCGCTGAATTCTTGTATTAATCAAGATGTTTGACCTTACTTGACCCAAAATTCCAGGACTTCATTGTAAATTTATCTTTTTAATAAACATCAAATATTCCTTTATAGACATAATCTTTATGCATGATTGACTTGGATCTTTTTTTTAACTTTCTCCTAAGACACACTATATTTCCAATGTAAGAAATCCTTGGCAAATAGTTCACATTTAAATGGAATAATTTGTCCAGAAAAACTGATCAGTGTATCTGCAAAAGACTTTGGTAGGAAAATATGAAGAAAAAGCACTAAGAAAACCATTATCTGCAAACTAGTTCAAAATCAAAGCACAAAACAATAATTCCAAGTATCACATCTCTTCAGATTATCCTACAAAACTTTAAATGATGATACCACGTTTCTTAGGTATATAGAAGAATCAGTTTTGCTTTGAGAATGAAATGCTTCCCTGGACTGTTATTACTGGTTCTCTCATTGAGATGCTCTAATAATTTTTCATTAACTACTTAATCATTTGCAGTGCTAATTCTAGAACAAATATTTTAATCTCTGTTCTACTAAAATTATCAGTGAGAATTATTTGGGAAATTATTAGCATTAAATGACCTTTGAATCAAGTGAAATTTACAATAAAAGCAACTGGAAAGCCGGGCATGGTGGCGTACCTCTAAAATCCCAGTACTCAGGAGGCTGAGGCAGGAGGATCATTATGTGTTTGAGGCCAGCCTGAGCTACAAAGTGAGCTCAAGGCCAGTATGACCCTGTCTCTAAAAAGGCAAAAATCAACTGGAGATGTAAACCTAAACTAAACTATGTTCTCTAGTGTCAGTCACACCCAACAGGTCTGTTCAAGTCATTCTTTATAAGCTTGATTTTCAGATTATAGCTCACTATGAATACTAACTGAAATAATTTCAGAAAGAGACTGGTTTACTTATAATCAAACCTTACATAAATATGAAGTCTAAGGAAAGCAAAATCTTACATATGTTCATCCCATACTAATTTCTACTTAGATTGATAGAATCTGAAATAGGATACACCAAATCAATTTTGCTATTGAAGTTTGTGTTCTATTTTACTCCTGTGATATCTTAAAAACAGGTCAAACATTTAGTATTCAAAAATAGTTACTGTTATAAAATTAGAAACAGAATGTCGGGGATGTTAAAGTGTTTAAATCCTTATGCATAACTGTCACTTAAGTTACATAAAAAACAGAGAGGAGGCAAGATTGAAAGAATAAGGATAGAGGATGTCACAGTGATATGTTTTTAGAAATAGTACCTTCACCTCTAAGCACCTTTCCAGTAGGTGATAGCTAGCTCATAGGCACCAGAAAGTCATAATAGAAATTAAATTATCCAAAAAGGCACGATGAAAATGTTAACACAAGTATAAAAAGTAATTTTAATGTAAGGTTAAAAACCTACTTAAAAAATGCTTCCTAATATGTAAAACTGTACATTAATTCATTACACATTCAGCTTAAATTTACTATTAAAAAGTGTACACAACATTCTGCCTAATTATCAATACATGCCAACATTAATTAATAATGTTGCATTTACCAGCACAGCACCCAAAGAGATAACAGGAAACCAACTCCCTACAAAAATCTAGGGAAATGGTTTTACAGCTAATCGAATAATTTATTACAGACCTTATTTACTATAAAGAAACTGTTGGCTTATTCTACTATATCCACACTCCCTCATAATCTTAAGGGAAATCCAATAAATCCACCCACTTCTACTAAAACACATTTGGCAGATAGGAGTATTTTCTGTACTCCTTTTTCTTTCTTTCTTTCAAGAATAAATCACTTCCACAAAACTAAGACTCAACTTTTTTTCAAAGCTCAACCTGATTTGCGGCAGCTACCTAAAGACATGCTTGGCCACATAATAGCAACTGTACATCTTCCCAAGCCTGCAATATAGAACTGATGGAGGACACTCACTTGCATAAAATGTATATGATTGTTGAGTCTATGATGAAAACATCCTCCAGAAAACGCATTCAAGAGGGTAAGTTTAGGCCTATGCATTTTGAGAACATAAAACATGTAATATCGTCATCCAAAAAAATTTCTTAAAACCCTAAAGGAGGCATGAAAAAAAATGCATTTAAAATTTAGAATAATTAGGAAATTCTCATCTATATTTATCAAATGATAACTGGATTGTAACATTTTCTTTTTAGACAAATATATCCTAGAATGTTTAGATGATAACTGCGGATGCTACATCCTGGATCTAGCTAGTTTCTCCTCCACAGAACACCACAGGCCCGAGGCGCCAGTCAGGTCATCTAGCTCCACGTCTGCGCCATGGTGTCGGTTGATACACCTGACGCTGTGTGCGTTCTAACTGAATCTAACACAGGCGCCTTTAGCTTAGTATATAAAAGTCTACTATGCCCTTTTGGTGATTAAAGAAATTCAGTTCTCAAGAAATCATTTCATGGTTTATGAATGACCTGGAAATAAAAAGTGTCATTTTGAAAACGTTGTAGTGTTTTGTCATTAGAGATATGACATACACAATTAGAGTTTTCAAAGAGGCTATAAAAGTAAGTACAAACATACTGAAGTATTTTTGCTATGTGTATTTCTTCACTGATGTTGGGACACTGTTGGATCATAAATAAATGAGACACACATCTTAAAAATAATGATAGACATTATAAAGTACCACTTTGTGATGATTCAAGTAACCAATGTGGTATGTGTATAAATTAATTCACAGAGCTCCTCACATGATTCTGTGTACAAAGTGCTCCATCTTACTCAGATAAATTAAGTTATCTTTAGTCAGCCTCTTAAAGATTGTAAATGTCTAATAACTAATGTCTTTACTGTTTTAAGATAACCAAATAAAACTTTTGTGAAGCATAATTTTTAACAGTTTCTGGTTAACTTCTTTTCATACACTTTGAGGCTATTAACAAAATTTAAACCTGAACAGATTTTCATACATCAAGAGGAAACACAAAGAGCAAAAAGACAAGCAGAGGCGCTCTATACTATAGACCCATCCTTGCTCTGTGCTGGGATCATCACGGGAACCGCTCCCATTCGGCTTAGATTAGGGGCAGCTACCTTAGCGGGCGGCAGAGTTGGGCTCTGGGGAGCGCGTTCAAAGTCTTCACTTGGTACTTGGTTATACTGAGTCTTAGAGTACCCCTCCATGTTGGAAGGGGACATGGAACCCAAGGAAGAGTGGTTGCTGCCAATGTAGCTTCTGGCGGTGGATGTCCGACTCTTTGGAGGAGGAACATCTTCTCTGGAAAACAAAGTCCCCAGTGCAAGAAGTTAAAACATCAAGTTTCTAAAAACTTGTAATAGTGCAAGCTGCAACTGATGACTAAGAGTCTTAGTAAAGTATGAAATAAGATTAGCGCTACACACAAAAGAGGCAAGCACACACACTGTCATTAACTGTGCATTTGTTCCCAATGTATCATTTTGATTAAAAAATGTACAACATAATTATAGCATATAACCTCATATAGAAAAAATATGTATTTTACACAAATTTAGGCATTATAATTAAAAAAAATCTCATTTTATATTCTAGCATCAACCTGAACATTATCTAGTTATAGTTACTTAACACTTTCTGGCTGGCAAGAGAATTAACACTCACTGGCATATTTCATGGATATATTCTAACCCTCAAGGCGGGGGGGAATCCCATTTTACTATATAAGTTATCTAAGACTTTAGCTGAAAAGCTTGTGCTTGAGTTTTCAAAAGCTGGGGTCAGGGAGATAGTTCAGTGGCATAAGCACCTGCCTGGCAAGCACAAGGTCCTGAGTTGAATCCCTGGTACCAAAAATCTAACTAGCCCCGTGTGGTGGTGCACCCTTATAGTCCCAGCACTCAGGAGGCTCAAGCAGGACGATCGCTGTGAACTTGAGACCAGCCTGGGATACAAAGTGAGCTCAAGGCCAGCCTGAACTAAACAGTGAAATCCTGTCTCAAAAAGTAAAAAAAAAAGGTTTCAAAAACTGGGAATTTAGGCATAGGAATGTTTATATCAAGCACCGAGAAAATACATATCAGAGTGACTTTTGGAGTGTTTTAAAAATGTAAGTACAGGGCTGGCGAGATAGCTCAGCAATCTAAAGTGCCTACTTAGGCAACCTTAGGCAAGTGCAGGGACCACAGTTCGATCCCTGGTACCACATGCTGCGCCAGCCCCGCCCCCCAGGGCAGGCTGAGTTGGCCACAGAGACGGTGTGATGTGGCGTGATGGCGCATGCCTGTAATCTCAGCACTGGGGAGGCTAAAAACAAGAGGATCACTACGAGTTTGACCCTGCACAACATACAAAAAAAAAAAAAAAAAAAAAAATTAAGTGCTCAAATCCCACACAGACCTACCAAAAGTCCAACCCCAAGGTATTGAACTAGTTAGTCATATGTTATTGTTCTTCAAAGTTCTGTAATCCAATGTGCAATTCTAGTCAAGGTCTACAAGTTTAGAATATTCAAGAATATAAACACACTGTAATAGTTCTGTAAATTATTCATGACAACTTGATACAACTAGTTTTTGTTTTAAAATCTCAACAGCTACTACAATTTTTGAGTAACAAGTTAATCACTTTGTAATTCTCAAAATGGGATGCAAGAAAATTTGGTGGCACACAAAGAATGGGTGGATATGCCCACTGAAAGTAAATGTTCTGAAATATGTTGTGTGGAGAAGCTTCTGCACAGTTCTCATAGAGAATAACACGCTTCAGATGCTAAAAAGAATTACTGCCTTAGGAACATAGTAAAACACAGACCTGCCAAAGAATTACCTTATATCATGGTGAACTTCCTTTTCATATTTTTCTTCTCTGCGCTTTTTACGACAGCAAAAGACGATAAAACCAATGATCACAAGAGCAAATAAAATTCCTATAATAGCTCCTGCAATTGTCCCAGCTCTATTCGAAGCTAGAATAAGATGTTAATAAAAATAGTTTAAAAAAAGCACACTTACAATATTGGAAGTAGGATATAGTATAATGATAGATTGATTTTGTGGCAAAGTGCAAAAGCTGATTTGATAACTTTAATAAAAGTTATTTTTCTTAGTAAAATTTATTTCTTAATAATAGTTTATTCTTATTTCTTCATAAAATATAGTTCTTAATAAAAGTTCTTTTTCCCTATCAATGAACTAGAAACGCTAACAACCAAGCCACAGTGTTCTGATCAAATTCCCATCCCCTTGCCTGCAATATACACTTGCTAATGAAATTAAGAGTTTGTGTAGAGCTAACAAGAAGAAAACACTCACGGGGAACAACATCTAGGTTCAGCCGGCATTGATCAGAGCCCACTCTGTTCTGCACTGTGCAGGTGTAGATCCCGGAGTACTCAGAGGTGGCATTTCTTACAGTTATAACAGGTGAAGTCATTTCTGTGGGAGAGGAAAGAAAAGCAAACACTTTTACAGAATGTATTCCTGAGTGGCAATAAAAATAAACTCTACCAAATTTGACAATCCATTTAAAAAGGAGACAATGCCGGATGCAAACAAACTGCTGTGGAGCCCATGCATCTCTGCAGAATTAAGAGGCATGCCTGCAGTTCTGACAGATCAAGGCAAAAAAACAAAAACAAAATGCAAAACACGCCGTAATCCTTCAGGCAGAGCCTCAGCTAAAGCCAGGGTATGATACACTGTAGCAGTTGCAAGCTCATTTGGGGCCACATTTTAGTTACAGAAAGTACCTCATTCCATAAAGGCTCTTTCATGCAGCAGGAAAATCTGCCACCCCCACATAAAACACACAAAAGAAAATCAGAAGGGATAATCTAGTTCCGCCTCTAGTGAAATAAAAGAGGCAAAAAGAAACTTACTGAAGACCAGAGTGGGGTGAACAGAAAGAAGGTACAGCATGACAATCAGTTGGAACTAATAGGTCAATTATAATAAACAGATGAATGATCAGATTTAGTCAATTTGTAACTCCACAGTTAAGTGTCACACAGGGTCTTCCCCCACACACACACCTTATTTACAGAGCAGCCCTGGGTGGAATACTATAGCATCAACCAGAATCTAGCCAAAACACTCAAGATCCCAACACTTATTACAATTTAGCCACTAAATTGTGATTATAAACATTGTACACCAAATAAAAAAGAAATCTGCCAGAGGAAGATAATTATGATATTCTAAAAGATGAAATTATTATAAACATTTCTTCATTTCAAAGACACTAAATTGTCATAAATCCAAATAACCCTCTTGGAAATTCTTATCACTGTGTATAGAAAAGGGAAGGCATTTGCAAATTAAGAATATGTAACATACACATACAAACCCCACTAGATTTAAGTCCAACTCAGTGGCACATGGTACAATTTCTGCTATCAGCAATACCTGCTAACCATGGGGTAGGCATTTTCTGTGAGTCAGACAATTTTTGCCATTCATATCGTAATGGAAGTGAACCTTCTCTTGGTTCACATTTTAGTTTAAAATCATTTCCAATTTCTTCAGATCCATCAACAAAACACCTTGTACCTGATGGCTTAACTGGAAAAAAAAAAAACAAAAAACAAAAAAACAATTAATTCGACCTCATAAAACAAAAGCAATTTTATTTTTATAATAGGTTATTTAAACATACAGCATAGTACATAACCAATGATAACTGACATGTTATCAGCTGGGCCTGGGTACACAATCGCCAAAAGATCACAATAGGTTGTCAACATCAGCTGGCTCAGACACAAAACAAGAATAAGCTCAGGCAAGCAGCCACTGCATAAGGAGGTTGGCAGCATCTCAGGCACAGCTCTGTGCCGCCATTCCACTGGGCACACATGAAAAAAGCAAGGAGAATGCGAGCTGGGAGACTACTGCAGGAACTACCCCTCCACTCCTTACCTATTCTTCTCCATCCTTGAAATGCAGCCTTCTAGGAATAAGTGCCAAGTCACACTGACAATCAGGACTTATAACAAAAAGTGCTGATAACAGGGACAATTCACTTAGTACAACAAGAACAGATAATACTCGTACATACGCTAACTCAGATCCATTGAGAGAGCAGTTTTACTAGAAAGTATAGCTCAGACTGTTTTCTACATCTCCTTGAGTAATTATTTAAAGTAGCTACTATGCCGCATTACCCACAACTGACCCCAACCCTGGTGTTGCATACATAACCTTTGGTTGAACTTTACTAAGACATACATTTATGAACTAAAATTACCAGTTAATCATGTGGGTTGATCACTTTTAACAAATATGTACATGCAGTCATCACTAGGTATCCACAGGGGGAAATTAGTTGTAGAACACTGGATTCCAAAACACCTGAGGGTAAGTACCCTACAGACTCTAAGGCAACTCTAGACTATCTGCAATATCTATTATTTATTTATTTATTTATTTATTTATATGTATTTAGGACAGGGTCTACAGGGTCTCACTATGTAGATCAGACTGTAGTGATTCTCCTGTTTTCAGCCTCCCAAGTGCTGGGATTGCAGGTGTGTGCCACCACACCTAGTCTCAAGCGCCTTCTGAGCATGCCCCGTGGGCAGAGCTTGCACTACATGCTGGGGATCGAACCCTGACCACTATGCTCTGCCTAAGCAGGCACTTCAGGTAAATGTTCCATAAACTGTTATTATGATATATGATTAAAAGATTTTTAAAAGTCTGTACATATTCAGTACAGACACATTTTTTTGTCACTATTTTTGATCCATGCTGGATTAATCTGAGGATGCAGAACCCAAAGATACAAAGGGCCAACTAGATCCATGAAGCCCTAGTCCAGTCCTCTCCAAAGAAAGTTCCCTCCATCATAGCTGCAGTCAATCTCACTCCAAACTCTTGCATTCTCTTTCTATAATCATGAAAATGAAAATATACTGTAGCACATATTTGTCTCACTTCTTTCATTCAGGATGCTTTTCAAATAGATCCATGTTGTACCTACTGGTAATCATTCTCTATTACTGCACACTGTTATTCCAGTGAATGAATATAACATGTTCATTTATGCACCCACCCTGTGTTCGTTTATCCACCCACTGAACACTGCAGTTCTGGGGCTACTATTAGAAATTAATTGGCCAAAGTAACCAAGAGTAAGTCTGTAGCTTTCAAAATCTAATTAACCATGGTAGAAGGCACTATGAGGAACCACGTAATGCTACTGGCAAGAAAGAAGAGAGGACTCTCAGAAGCCTCTCAAGAAGAGAGTTCAACTCTCATCTGGCTGTTTCCAAGGAGAGATCAGGATTAAGTGTGGAATGGACACTATCTAGAGATTACACCCTTCAGCAAAGTGTTCAAAAAAAAATGGGTCTGCAGGTAATATTAAGAAAATTATAATAATATTTTACTGCTGTTCTACAACCTTGGGAGAAATATTTCCCACCAATTCTGTAGTCAGCTTTTACTTTTTTTTAGTTGAAGCTAATTTTCATTCAGTCCTGAATGAATTTTTATTCTTGCGCCACTATGAATAAAGGGGGTGGTCCACTCCTATCCCAGCACTTGGAAGGTTAAAATAGAAGGATCTCTGTGAATTCATACCAGCCTGGGCGTTTAAGTGAGCACAGGGGAGGCCAAACTGCATAGCAATACCCTGTATCAAAAAAAATAATAAAAAATAAAAATAAAGGTTTATGAGTTCTACAAATCTGCACTGCAATAAACACCACTGCTTCAACATTTATCTAATAATGTCATATTTTCCTTTTGGGGATAACTGCTGAGTCATATGTAAATATATGTTCAACTTTTTAAGACAATGTCAAAGTGTTTCCCACATGTGGTCAGGAGGATTTCCCCCACACAGGAGAGTACATTCAACCTGAAGTTACCGATAATAATCGCACACCTTCAGAATTTCTTAATACTCCTTAACAATTTATTTCTTCCCTTCATCTGTTACTGCTATTTTTTTAAAAGAGATCAATAGATGCATTTAGTAGCATTATTGATTTTTCTAAACAAATTTGTTTCTTTTCCAGATTGATCAGTTACCCTAGAGACTATATCAACTGAACTTTGTTAAATAAGTTTGGCAAATGAGATTATTAAAAAGCAATGCTTTTTATACCAAACCAGCAAATATTGATTAATATAATATTCTAATCCAAATTCTAGTTCTTATACTTTCAACTAAAAATGTCTCTTCTCCATATCCCAAATATATCCAATAATAAATTATTTAAAGTCGCTATTTACAATTTCAGAGTCTAGTTGACTTTGAGATTTCAATATATACTATTCATTAAAAAAGTGCTTATTGGGGCCGAGGAGATGGCTCAGTGGAATAAGCGCTTCGCTGGCAAGCGCAAGGGCCTGAGTTCAATCCCCGGTTCCGGAAAAAAAAAAAAAAAAAAAAAAAAAAAAGTGCTTATCAATTTTGGTCTTTGAACATCATTTTGGAGCAGCCCAACTACCTTCCAATGAAACAGAAAGTGCAACTCTTTCACATGCTCACTCCAACCATTACACCACAGGAAACATTAGTTCTTGGCCTATGACACTCTTGCTGACCATAAACTTGGCTTCTGAAACACCTTTAGAGACCATCACCCTCAGAACTTCTGTTTCCATGAACATCAGCATAGCCAACAACTCTTCCCAGACAAATGCATGAAACCATGACGCTGTACCTGGCCACTGTATCCGTACTTGGCCACTGTATCCCACCAATTTAGTAATGCCTTACTCCCTACAAATTTTGCAGTGGGGCCTCAGTTCACAAACTTAATTCTTTCAATGATTCTCATTGGGAACCAAATTGGATGAGAATTGCATCAAATTCAATGGTCAGGTTCAATGTGGACCCTTTTGGAAGAAGATTTGATTCGGTTTTCATCCAATTCGATTTGTGACCAGAATTGTGGAAAGTTTATGAACTGAGGTACCACTGCACATCATCATCCTGCCATGTTAGTGGCCTGCCTTAGTCTACAGTAAACGCATTCTAAATCCCTATATGGGACTAGATATACTTTTATCCCTACATCACCTTTACAAAAAGGTTATCTGCTTGGCTCAAAAACTCTAACCACTTGTAATCCTAGCAGTCTGAGAAGGTGCCATAGGATTGTAAGTTCAACTCAGCCCAGTTGATTTAATGATTTAGTAAGACCCTGTCTCACAAAAGAAAATTTAAAAGACTCAAGATATAGTGAAATATAAAGGCCCTGGGTTCAATTCTCAGTATTGCAGAAACAAGCAAACTAATCACTCTTACTCCAGACAAAAGCCATCATTAATACATACTAAAAATCAGTAAAAAAGTTAGGCAAGAAACAGGATATTCGTAGTGTCCAATTAGATTCCTCAACTTTTTTTTTATTATTTCAGAGGGAATATGAGTAACTTTGTAGTGTAAAAACTCATCAGATAAACTTAAGCCAATAAAGTAAGATGATACCATGTAACTCTTGATATAAGGGGAAGAAATTACAGGCATTAAATGCAATGTGGATCCTAGACTCCATACTAGAAAAAACTGTGACATTAAATGTTGAAAGTCCTATTTGGTGTATATTTTAGTTACCAGTATTATGCCAACATTAATGTTTTGTTTTTCATATCCACAGTATGATTCTGTTAACATTGGGGTAAATTACTTTCTAGTATTTTCAAAACTTTTTATCAAATGCTGGCAAAAAAAAAGGAGTTGAAATGTGTAGTGTATGTGTTATCAACTCCCTACAAGGAAGGGGCCAGGGGCCGGGGAGATAGCTCAGTAGAATAAGCGCTTCCTGGCAAGCACAAGGGCCTGAATTCAATCCCCGGTTCAAAAAAAAAAAAAAACCTCCCTACAAGAAATTTAGATCACTGTGATACAAACATGTACTAATACATTATTTTAAAAAATAATTTTCTACAAAACTTAAGGTTGTTTCAAAATTTAAAAGTGTGTGTGGCTGCAGAAGCCCTGTATCAATGGTTTGTAAATCCCACAGAACACATAAGGTCCAAGTTGAATGAGCCACTATCTCAGCTACTGCCACTGTCTCTGGCAGTACACTATTATTCAAGCACACTGTATAGATCCAAAAAACGATCAGTTATACATGCTGTACACCAAACAACTTCCGAACAACTCTGTACATCAAAAGGACTAATAGAGCCTGTCAGAGAGCCAGCAAAAGGCATTGGTGATATGTGGCCACAATACTAACCTATTGAGTTCTGTTATCAATGCCCACTTTGGCTTCTTTTCTGAGCAGTGACCATGTGAACTTAGTGTTCTGAAAGAGCATGGCAGGCTCCAACAATGGCATGAAGCTGTAGCAAAATGCTACCCTTGACATCCAGTCAACTAGGTCATCTGAGTTCATGGCCACACAGCACCCACAGTTCAATGAATAAACTTTCATTACCCTGTAAGCAAGCGCTACGGTGACAAGTCCTTCTGAACGGAAGCATTAGGCCAAGTTTCTCTCAGTGAACCAAAGGGGTGCTACCAATGGACTCACTTAGTGGGCCAGTTGAGGGCACTTCACTGATCTTTCCCCAAAATACATAGGCAGAATTTACAGGGAAAGCTGGTGGATGAGCTTCCTTCTAATTCTCTTATTTATTTATTCACAGATCAGACTTACAGTGATCCTCCTGTTTTCAGTCTCCCAAGCACTGGGATTACAGGCACACCACCACACTCAGTCTCATTTGCCCAGGGGTGGGGCAAGCATGGCAGGCCAGGGATCTAACTCCTGTCCCTGCATCTGTAAGCTAGGTGTTTTGATCCACTGAGCTATTTGGCCGGCCCCCAATTCTCACTTTCAGAAGAAAAAAATTCTGGAGGTTTCTCCCAGTGGCTGTCATGACTCATTTGAAAACACAGAAGGACATGCTTCTCTGGCATTGTGACAGCCTCATTAGATCAAATTTAGTCATCGTTTCCCTTCAGCAATCACTGCCTTCTTCCTCCTCATATCCCTATTTTATCTTTTTTTCTCTCCAAAGTTCGAATTCAAGTTCTACTTGGCTATGGTAATCCTTCACAGAACTACAAAGGGCAGAGTGTTTCCCCTTGTCCATGGTGAGGATGCTGGACTTGTACCTTTAATATAAAAAGCCTATTCCTGGTAGAGATCGATCACCCTAGCTATTTGAGAAAATCGCAAACACTTCAAACATTTATAATTCCTATTCTAAAAAGCTAAAGTCTACCTTAGCTCCTACAGTACATGATCACTCTTCCTGTCACTAACTAGCTAACACAAATAAAAACAACTTACCGAGCACTGTCAGCAAAACTTTCTTATTCGCAACACCAGGAGCTTTCTTCACTTTGCACTGGTATGTGCCAATATCTGATAACTGTAAGTTTGTTACATTTATTGACGCATCACCAGCTTTGAGATCATTACTTGTAAAATGTACTCGTCCTTTCAGAGCTTCATGGTAGTTATCATAAATTTTGTCTCCAGAATATAAAATAATCTAAAAGAAAACCAAACAAGAATAGCAAACAAACAACGAAAGTTATATCAATAAAGGAACTATGAATATACCAATAGCACAGAATCCAAAAACAGAAATAGCAGAACAACGTATGATCAGAAAACCTACAACTATCAAAATGATAGAATAAGAAAATAAGAAATGGTCAGTGGTATCCTTGAGTTTATTCCCATGTTCCCATTTTAAATGGGGAAAATAAGATCCAACACAGTATACACAACAGCTCCATAATAGGAGATTTGTAAGACTCAACAGGATGCAAATTTGTTCATCACTATTCCCTTCTTCAAGAGGTTCCAAGGCTGTGGTGAATCAGTTAAATGTATAAACTCAAGACTATATTATAGCTCAGTAGAATAAGTGCTTGCCTGGCAAGCACAAGGTCCTGAGTTCAA